TTCGCTGTCCGTAGACCTTCACTACAAAACCTCAACCAACAAACTCTAACACCAGGTTCGCTGTCTGTAGACCTTCACTACAACATCTCAACCAACAAACCCTAACACCAGGTTCGCTGTTTGTAGACCTTCACTACAAAACCTCAACCAACAAACTCAAACACCAGNGTAGAGGTAAACAAAATAAAAAATAAAAAATAGAAGTATGTAGAAATTAGAATAGGGGAGAGGTAGCTATGCAACCGTTTATAACGTTACCAATTAAAAACGTTTGGTAACGAAATATGCTTTATTCTTTCACTAGTATTTCATGAATTCTAAATAGGTCCTTTCTAACTTCTAATTACTAATAAATGTTTACTAAGGGTGCATCAGGTACTGGGAAATATTATTTAACTTTTCACTCAGATACATGGGTACAAATGTGTCCTTGGTATCTCCTATCGTGAATTTGACTGTACAGTAATAGATTGCCAGGAACACGGTTCAAGGAACACGATTCAGTTGAAAAAGATGTTTAGGTTTGATATTTGAAATAATTTTGCCGGAAAGTCGTCTTAAACTGGTGGCCAAGTCGTTTGGAATTACTGATAATTTTTGTACAGAATTTGTCAAGATTTGTGTCGACGCTCAGTAGGTGTTCGGTTGACGAGTCTGTGTGATAAAGAGGTCATTAATAGACATAATGTGTTGCGTCTTCGAGGTCGTTTCCCCACTCACATGACCGTTTTGTTCTAACATTTACACTATATAGATCGGAGTTAAGTAAACTTACTTTATTTCTTATTCTACAATAGATAATATTTTCAATACACAATGTTGATCAAGCGGTGCATATAAAGACAAATGCATTCTGTATTTTCTTGATCTCCACAAGCGTGACAAAAATTACCCAAGGATGATTATTGTAAACTTTTTGTTATAACCTAGATATCCATCATTGTGAAAAAAAATCTGCTACAATTAGTTTCATGCTTAAACGCACACTGAAAGGATTGAAAGTGTAAATGAAAGTAGACTTGAATACATATCGTGGATCTAGAACAGCGACGCCCCCGCTTACTATCTACACACTGTACGAACCTATACGTCCGGGTTAGTAAGCATTACATATAATTAGTGCCACTCACTTGAAACACTCCTTCATCCGCGCCATCTTGACACCTCTTGTACATGGCTTACTGCGAACATAAAATACCAGTACAGATCAATTATAGAGTGTTAAATTAATCTCATTATACAAATACAACATCATGTTCAACACTTTTTTAGATTTATTAAAAGACATACAAGTCAGATGTGTGACCGCATTGACACACTTAACTTCAGCACATGTAGTGCAGTTTGAATTCCATATATTACTTACCCCTTATAATCAAACAGCTTTGCCTTTCAGAAACGTGAAAGTCGCAAAACTCGATGCGTTATACCCTGTATAGAACCTATCTGTGCTTTGAAATATGTAAATAGTCACTTTGAGAGGGTGCTTAATTTGGGGACAAGTAAAAGTTTTCGTATCTGTAATGTGGAGACGAGTACTGAATGTAAAGTATGCTGTAAGTGATTTCTATGTGTGTTTATTTGGAGTGGAATACAAGATTTGTTTTTCATCCCTCTGAAACTGCATGCATAGCAAGTATGTTTATTGATACAAATACTGTTTCAATTATATGTTTATTGGTATACATTTCTTATCTATTAGCAGACATCAGTACTCATACGACATGGCTATAAAACCTTACCCCTGCATGTTAGGGGAAAGAAAAGTCCTGCGGTGTACTACTGCAGGCTGTCGTAAAAGGCGTAAATGTAAATGTGGGGCATCGTGCAGCATTGGGGGGCCTTCTTTCGTGTTTACTGCACGGTTACTGCCCTCGTTGCTACGATTGGGATCTACATATATACTGTTTTCATGCCTCTACAGTTTTTATTTGACATCAGCTGTTGCGAAGACATTGAACCAAAAACCTCAACAACAAACTCTAACACCAGGTTCGCTGTCTGTAGACCGTCACTACAAAACCTCAACCAACAAACTCTAACACCAGGTTCGCTGTCGGTAGACCGTCACTACAAAACCTCAACCAACAAACTCAAACACCAGGTTTGCTGTCTGTAGACCTTCATTACAAAACCTCAACCAACAAACCCTAACTCCAGGTTCGCTGTCTGTAGACCTTCACTCCAAAACCTCAACCAACAAACTCAAACACCAGCTTCGCTGTCTGTAGCCCTTCACTACAAAACATCAACCAACAAACTCTAACACCAGGCTCGCTGTCTGTAGACCTTCATTACAAAACCTCAACCAACAAACTCTAACACCAGGTTCGCTGTCGGTAGACCGTCACTACAAAACCTCAACCAACAAGCTCTAACACCAGGTTCGCTGTCTGTAGCCCTTCACTACAAAACATCAACCAACAAACTCTAACACCAGGCTCGCTGTCTGTAGACCTTCATTACAAAACCTCAACCAACAAACTCTAACTCCAGGTTCGCTGTCGGTAGACCTTCACTACAAAACCTCAACCAACAAACACTACACCAGGCTCGCTGTCTGTAGACCTTCATTACAAAACCTCAACCAACAAACTCTAACACCAGATTCGCTGTCCGTAGACCTTCACTACAAAACCTCAACAAACAAACTCTAACACCAGGTTCGCTGTCTTTAGACCGTCACTACAAAACCTCAACCAACAAACTCAAACACCAGCTTCGCTGTCTGTAGCCCTTCACTACAAAACATCAACCAACAAACTCTAACACCAGGCTCGCTGTCTGTAGACCTTCATTACAAAACCTCAACCAACAAACTCTAACACCAGGTTTGCTGTCTTTAGGACTTCATTAGACGTCTGATGTAATTAGATGTATCCGTTAATGCTTTTGTATGTTGCGAATACAACTTATACAGGCGTAACCCGTGCAGGGGCGATGAAAGATAATAAGACCAACTATATCCAACTGCATAATCGGAAGAGGCGACTATGTCTGTAGACCGTCACTACAAAACCTCAACCAACAAGCTCTAACACCAGGTTCGCTGTCTGTAGCCCTTCACTACAAAACATCAACCAACAAACTCTAACACCAGGCTCGCTGTCTGTAGACCTTCATTACAAAACCTCAACCAACAAACTCTAACCCCAGGTTCGCTGTCTGTAGACCGTCACTACAAACCCTCAACCAACAAACTCTAACCCCAGGTTCGCTGTCTGTAGACCTTCACTCCAAAACCTCAACCAACAAACTCAAACACCAGCTTCCCTGTCTGTAGACCTTCACTACAAAACCTCAAACAACAAACCCTACACCAGGTTCGCTGTCTGTAGCCCTTCACTACAAAACATCAACCAACAAACTCTAACACCAGGCTCGCTGTCTGTAGACCTTCATTACAAAACCTCAACCAACAAACTCTAACGCCAGGTTCGCTGTCTGTAGACCTTCACGACCACACCTCAACCAACAAACCCTAACACCAGGTTCGCTGTCCGTAGACCTTCACTACAAACCCTCAACCAACAAACTCTAACCCCAGGTTCGCTGTCTGTAGACCGTCACTACAAAACCTCAACGAACAAACTCTAACACCAGGTTCGCTGTCTTTAGACCGTCACTACAAAACCTCAACCAACAAACTCTCACACCAGATTCGCTGTCCGTAGACCTTCACTACAAAACCTCAACCAACAATCTCTAACACCAGGTTCGCTGTCTGTAGCCCTTCACTACAAAACATCAACCAACAAACTCTAACACCAGGTTTGCTGTCTGTAGGACTTCATAAGACGTCTGATGTAATTAGATGTATCCGTTAATGCTTTTGTATGTTGCGAATACAACTTATACAAGCGTAACCCGTGCAGGGTCGATGAAAGATAATAAGACAAACTATATCCAACTGCATAATCGGAAGAGGCGACTATGTCTGTAGACCGTCACTACAAAACCTCAACCAACAAGCTCTAACACCAGGTTCGCTGTCTGTAGACCGTCACTACAAAACCTCAACGAACAAACTCTAACACCAGGTTCGCTGTCCGTAGACCTTCACTACAAACCCTCAACCAACAAACTCTGACACCAGATTCGCTGTCCGTAGACCTTCACTACAAACCCTCAACCAACAAACTCTAACCCCAGGTTCGCTGTCTGTAGACCGTCACTACAAAACCTCAACGAACAAACTCTAACACCAGGTTCGCTGTCGGTAGACCGTCACTACAAAACCTCAACCAACAAGCTCTAACACCAGGTTCGCTGTCTGTAGTCCGTCACTACAAAACCTCAACCAACAAGCTCTAACACCAGGTTCGCTGTCTGTAGACCGTCACTACAAACCCTCAACCAACAAACTCTAACCCCAGGTTCGCTGTCTGTAGACCGTCACTACAAACCCTCAACCAACAAACTCTAACCCCAGGTTCGCTGTCTGTAGACCGTCACTACAAAACCTCAACCAACAAGCTCTAACACCAGGTTCGCTGTCTGTAGTCCGTCACTACAAAACCTCAACCAACAAACTCTAACACCAGGTTTGCTGTCTGTAGGACTTCATTAGACGTCTGATGTAATTAGATGTATCCGTTAATGCTTTTGTATGTTGCGAATACAACTTATACAAGCGTAACCCGTGCAGGGTCGATGAAAGATAATAAGACCAACTATATCCAACTGCATAATCGGAAGAGGCGACTAATCGGGCCCCCTGTATAATCGGGGTGGTTTCTTCCATGTCTTCTATTTAGGGGACATTGAAAAAAAAGGAGACTTTGTCGTAAAAGGAGACTCATGTTATTTCCCTTGCAGAATCAGAATCGATTATTATATTGATATTGCAGAATCTCCCGTGTCTTCTACAAAAGGGACATGGAACAGACCAAAATGAATCTGCTACCCCCATTGCAACACTTGTGATCTTTTTTCGTTTCCCAATCGTTCCTGTCTGCCTTCTTTTCTGTCTACTATCCTTTTCAAGCGATGACTCCCTAGGTACCCGTCCTCATATAACCCTGGCTGTTGCGGGGACATTTAACCAGAAACAAACAAACAAACAAACAAATACACATGCGTTTTAACTACACTACTTTCAGTAACACTAACAAGAAGCAGTCCGTACCCAATTGATTGACAGGTACGCTATTAACGATACAACCGTCAATCATTCATGATTTTATGATACGAAGCTTCATCTCAAGGGTACGGAAGCCAAGGAGGATCAGCTTAACCAAAAAATAAATACGAAAACAAGGGTAGTACGCAGTGGAAAAGAAAAGGAGATATAGAAAAGATAAAGATATGCACATGTAATAACGCGAACAACTATTCCTACGCAAAACGCGAATTCTTAACGCGAAAGAAGTCGCACTAACTTAAGCAAATCGTCATAGACGCCTTTAGGGGTCGTAATAAAGCAAACTAAAATACTCATAGTTATATCTTTTTAAAGTCATTAGAACGCAAACAGCTAGAATTAGCCTCTTTTAAAAGTCAATTTCATGAAGTAATCTCATTGTTTTGCGTAATATCGAATATGAGAAGGAGTTTTGTTCGCATACTGACGAACCAACGCATTAACTGTACATAGTAACACGATTTTAGATTTGTATTTCCGGCTTTAAAGCTGGCCATTCTTAGATTTCATACAAATAAAACAAAGCTTTGACATCAGACATTCACTAGAATATGTATAAAGTCTTATTGTTCTGTGAGAAGCCCGAACGAAGACAAACGTTTCAAAGCGAATATTTGAAACAAAGCAGACATGTTACAGCTGCTGTTTAATTATGATAACATGCAATCTATCGATATTGGCGTTACATTAATGTGCGTGCTGGGACACGTACGTAAGCGCGTGCGTGCGTAATGGTGGCTGACGTGTTCCATCTCTAAGCGAAATAAAGATGGAAATATAATAAATGATCGACTTTTAATATCTTATAATTTGCTTTCTGTAAAATTATAGCAGACTCGATTGTACGTACAAAATCAGGAAAACATTGCGTTCTAGTGAAGGTTTCAATAAGTGTTGTCTATTAATGGCAACAATTTCTACCTTTTCGTGTTTTCAAAGCCACCAAACATAATTTGGACGGACGTTTATGTGAGTTGTGTTTCAGCTAGATTATTTCAAATCTTACGTCTGTGACATAGATTACGTATCCGGTCCATCTGTTACATGACAAGCACGCCATAGTTGATACTCCAATACAATTAAAATCACTTCGGAGGCACGAAATAATGACGTGATACCCAAACAGTTGGACCTATCGTACTACACGCGAGAACAATACTTAAAGATAAAGACAAAAGCCATTAAAGCATGCTATTGAGATATCAGTGTATGTTTAGTGGTCTGTGTTTATATGTAGTATTAAAATCGATTCTAAGGATACACACAAACCCCTGTGGCACGAACGTTCCCTGGTTCAGTGGATATTTTACTATAACCACATGTGAAGTAATGTTTTTTTTTCTCTATCGGCAGACCTTCATAAATTGTTTACATATTCACGTAGTTTTAGACATTAAGGGGGAAATATGCGTTAATTTATAATTGGTTTGTGAGTTGGAGCTAGACCGCTTACTGGTAAAGTCACAATACCGATATCGTTTTGATATTTGTTTATCCTTCTAGATCAAAGGAAAGAGACTTGTATCGCAATTAATCCAAACTTATAGACTTTCGTCTGATCAAACGACAGGAAAGCCCTGCGTTCCAAAATATAAAAATTGAAAAGTTTGAATACTAGTTTTGTTGGGTTCACAAAACTACAAAGTTCCGTATGTCAGTAACCCTAATAGTAAGTATGCGCATGACCAGAAAATCCGTAACCTTATAAGCTGACAAATGTCGTATATGTAGTTTCAAATCGCTCTGGCAACCAGTAGGTTACTGCTATGTCCTTTACGAGAGTTTACTGTATACGAATTTCTCCAGTGCACCTAGGTGTACACACTGGAACAAAAAGTCTTTTTTTATCCAAAATATTGGGATCATTCGCATTTGCGACACGCCACAGGATGTGCTTCGAGTCTCGAAATTGAAGTCTCGCGATATTTCAGCTATAAGATAACATCCCTAATCCTTATTGAACCTATTGAACCGTACACAACAGTACTGTAATTGTGAGGCCATGTCGTATTGGTTAAGTTTATAACACGAGTATATCATTAAAACACTAATCATTATTTAACATCAACATTTACCATCGGCATAGCAGCCAAAAGGCACCACTAATTTACCACATGTAGACACTGTATTATGCTATCTATATCATGCGTTCATGCAAAGACGTATCGATTCAGAAACATGTCATTAATTTGTCTCAGATTCTGTATATCATTACAGCGAGATCATTGTTAGTAATGACGCAATATATACACGCCATAGCTATAGGTATATGGAGTGTCGAGTGTACTGGGCAGACCCTGGGTCTGGCCGTGCATAACACAGACATGCAGGCTATTGGTATTGTGTGCTATTTATTAAGTGTGTAAGGCGGACATATTCAAGGAAGGCAATTTACTGTACATGATACTACAAGGTGGAAATATATGTTATCGAGTTCAAAATATCCGTCGTTGCATTTAGATCTTATTTGAATGACTCGAGACAATAATGGCATTAAATTGGCACTCAGGGGTAGAATTGAACCTTAAGTTTGACTTCACAAACCGCAGAGACACACCTTATGGACAAATAAAACCATATGTCTCGAGGCTAATGTTATTTCTTATAAATAGATGTCGGATATAGCTGATTGATGTAACCTGAAAAAACCCCATGTATTTATCTAGATAAGATACCACAACACAAAGCTTTGCCATTATCAAATAAAACACTGTATGGATAAGATTACGGGTGTCCGCTCACTCAAGACCAACGCTATGCGCCATGTTTTGCTATTATCTGTAACTCTAGTGATGTTATTTCGATTCAAACACGCAACGGCAACAGTGCACTACTAAGTGAGGATAAAAGAAGTTCATAGTGACACGGGATGGTTCGTTCAAATGACAAAGGTCATTATAGAGAAAATAACCCAACTCGATATTATAAATATCCAGCCCACACCAATGGTATGGTACACTATGACATTCGCTTATGTCCACCACAAATGCTGACGCTACGTGTTATTTTGTTGACATAACATTGGTCTAAAACTACACTGTGCCAAAGGGCTATATGGGACTATATGCTGCTCAATGTCACCTTTTAGAAATGGCAACAGGCCACCGAGTACGACAGGACGTTCCGCAATCTAGACCGACTATATTTGCCTGTTCTACGGCGACGAAAGTTAGTCTGGATTCTAAACATAGGAGAAAGTATCCTAACATTGTAAGACTAAATCACAGATACTAACTGACAATATTACTAACGTTCAGTAAATTATGACAGGCGTTGACTCTGAATAATTAATTTTTATATAATCCATTTAAATCTTGTTAATTCAACGAAATTCGACCCCTGCAGGTCGGGGACTGCGAAAAGTGGTCTTGAGAGACGACTTATATATGCGTTGTTGCCCTCTACCTGGGGACACAAATGCGACCAAAATAAATCTGCTGCACCAATTTCAATGATTTAAATCTTTATGTTCCCCTATTGAACCAACATGCCCTGCCTCCTGTACATATACACACATGGGGGCACGTCCTATTAACCAAATCAATCAACGAGAATCTATGTGCTACTAGTACGGTTTGTGGAGATTTTTAATGGTGTTATTTGTCCTTTAACTGTGCGTTTGAATGACACTTATCCCACTGATTGAGAACCCCATAAACACATTATTATGGCGCGTTTGATACAATATTGAAAACTGTACAAAATTTGGCTGCATAACACCAGAGTTGTGGCTATTTCGTTCCGTGCACGTTAAATGTCTGAATAGAACGACAAATGTCATACGTTCTAGGAAAGCCGAACATGTATCATCACGTGATTGAATGTTGAATATAAACGAACCTACCTGGCCGTATAGCACCGGAAGTTTTGTGTGTTTCCTTCTGCGCATGCACAATAGCTGAAGAGAACGGCAAAGGTTATACTTCCCAAGAGAACGTTAATACAAGTCGCTTGTTCAGCCATTGTCAGTGTCAATACTACTTAATGAGGAGATTTTAACTTCACTATAAATATCCTCCTCTACTTAGGAAACTGCGTGGTCTAAAACACTCTGTCTACGTAACTGGCACAATATTAACGCAGTTTGTTATCATCTCAGGACTCTCACAAGTACAGCTTTCCTTTAGCTACTTCTAACTCGCCCCACATTGGATCCCGAACCTTCAGTCCTATATAAAACACATATACACTAATATCTACAAATACTTTATAAATTATTCACGCGGACGCATTCATCTGTGTGTACATTCTATTACGTAAACCGACACTCCAGAAACAATGCGGACGGTTTGTAATTTGTATCACATGGCGCCGGGCCGCATCGCCCGCACAAACGTTGGCACGCAATGGGTGCCACTCGGTCCATATCTCAACACGAACATGCCCCAATTGGTACTGCGCAGACCATAAGAGTCGGGTTAGTTTGATGTCCGACACTTCCCCCTTACGGCCCCGCCCCGTTATGAGTTTGTTATTGCTGACTACAGCCGAACTTGACCCCATTGAAATGTACCAGCTGGAACCACCAACTCATTGTTTAAAATGTATGGTTAGTTTTCAAATGCAGGATTGTTATTGTATCCTACCGATGATATGTTTCGGAAAGAACTTGAATTAATTGTAACGGACATTTTTAAACAGTTAACTTGTGAGATAGTGTATATCACTATAACAGGCGAAGGACAAGTGGACATTCGTGAGAACTGTTGATCTGTGATAAGGTATGATAAAAATCCTATAAACCACGGAATGAATAAACTGTGGCTATCTGGCGACATAGACTACATAAATATAACCATCTAAATCAGATACCCTACTCTCTAGTGTACTAGATATAGGCGCTGAATTCTATTAATCTGAGCAGGTAGTATATACCAACGCAAGCATTGTTATTGCTACAACCCTGCCAACATCAGCATATGGTAAAAGCTGTGTCAAACTGGGTTTTAATGTTAAATCGTTCGTCTGGACATTTTGGTTTATGTGTTAGTTAGTCCGACCACTGTGGCTGTGTGTCAGGTTCTGTATTAGGGGAAACTTGTAAGTCTGGTGGATACAGCGAAGCCTCGTTAGTCCGGATATTTTGGTTTATGTGTTAGTTAGTCTGACCACTTTGACTGTGTGTCAGGCTCTGAATTAGGCGGAGGCTTGTTAGTCTGGTGTATACAGCGAAGCCTCGTCAGTCCGGACATTTTGGTTTATGCGTTAGTTAGTCCGAACACTTTGACTCTGTGTCAGGTTCTGTTTAGGCGGATACTTGTTAGTCTGGTGCATACAGCGAAACCTCGTTAGTCCGGACATTTTGGTTGATGTGTTAGTTAGTCTGACCACTTTGACTGTGTGTCAGGGTCTGTATTAGGGGAGACTTGTAAGTCTGGTGTATACAGCGATGCCTCGTTAGTCCGGACATTTTGCTTGATGTGTTAGTTAGTCCGACGACTTTGACTGTGTGTCAGGTTCTGGATTAGGGGAGACTTGTAAGTCTGGTGTACACAGCGAAGCCTTGTTACTCCGGACATTTTGGTTTATGTGTTAATTAGTCCGACCACTTTGACTGTGTGTCTGGTTCTGTATTAGGGGAGACTTGTAAGTCTGGTGTATACAGCGATGCCTCGTTAGTCCGGACATTTTGTTTTATGTGTTAGTTAGTCCGAACACTTTGACTCTGTGTCAGGTTCTGGTTTGGCGGATACTTGTTAGTCTGGTGCATACAGCGAAACCTCGTTAGTCCGGACATTTCGGTTTATGTGTTAGTTAGTCCGAACACTTTGACTGTTTGTCAGGCTCTGAATTAGGCGGAGACTTGGTAGTCTGGTGTATACAGCGAAACCTCGTTAGTCCGGATATTTTGGTTGATGTGTTAGCTAGTCCGAACACTTTAACTGTGTGAACGGTGGTGGTGGTTCAGGTTGAGTCTTGTTAGCCCGTTGTATACAGCGGAACCTCATTAGTCCGGACATTTTGGAGACTTTGGTTTGTATGTGCAATAAACGTTTGGTTTGTGTGCACAGCGTACCTTCATATTTCGGATACTTTGATTATGTTCTGGAATAAGGATTTGTTTGTATAAGGAAATAGGGAAAATGTCTACATTTTAATTCTTTCCCAGATAAAAGCTACCGAAACATTCTCGTTTCTACATGAAGTTCGGATTAACATTCTTGCTCTACTTTATGCGGCACGTTATAGTCGAGTGGTAACGTCAAACTTTCCTTGCTTTTACCGTTGGTAAAACATCTGTAATTCATTAAAACAAAAACCGTGTATTACCTGAGCTGTAACCTCAAACGAACAAAATAAAAATGTTCTAATTACAGTTTAGTGACGTGCGATAGCCGTTTAACAATACGTAAACACATATTTATCTTGAGGTCGGACTTCAAGTATTTCGATGGAATATCTGGCCTCCGTATACTAACCGTTCCGAGACTGATAGAATAATGAGCTTATATTATTTGTGATATTTAGATTATAATAGCTCATATGACTGCCAAGACGACTGCTGTTGCTCATGTAAAAGCCGGACGTTTGAGTCCGTTAATCGCTTTGCAAATTAGTGCTAGCATACTGACACCGCTTCCGCCACTATGCTGTTCATCTGGCCTTCGAATTTAACTTATTATAGTAAACGTTCCTGTTTTTATCTGGTTAGAAGATACATTGTTAGTTTAACAAATCTTTTCGTGGTAATGAAGTCCCATCGCTTAGCTACTTTAGGTTGCTTTGAGTTATATATTACAAAGTTCAGCAATTTAAAACAGCATAATTTAATTAGGTACTCGAAATGAAAACCAAATATAAACGCTTCAGTTACTACACACATACGTATTTGTGTATTTAATGGGGAGAAAGTTGACTAGGCTATAGGAAGAGCTGTTATCCGTCTGATCTGGGGAGGTAATGACACCGACACAGTTTTCACGGTTGTTTAGTTTTAAGTTATATATATTAGAGCGGCATTTTTATACACGCGTGCAGTTTAAAACAAACCTTCTCTCATGTACAAACGGTATCTATTTCGGTATGTTCAATACAGACCTAAACATTTCATTTCATTTCCTCTTTTATTATAAAAGATGATTCCTTTAAAAAACCGGGAGAACGCATCCGAGCTAGATGTGAGGGTTTAAGAATAATACAGTTTCCCAAGCATGACATTGAAATCCTGAGTATAGCAGTCGAATATTGATCCTGGTCCATTTTTGCTCGCCGCATTACAGCTCATTTAACAGTGTTTCCGACAATAAGACACTGGAGCGGCGAACGATGAAAGTTTATTGTTATCGCCTTGATAAAGCACAATGGGTATTAACAAGGTGCATGAAATACATATTTTTTTTTATTGTATTTCGAAGTTTCATCAATTTTTGTCATTAGCGAGAAACTTTGTCCAATCAACCGCGTCTAGATCATGTACGTTTCCCTTGCCTGCTTTTAAAGATAATACTTTATTTCAATATATAAACAGTGGTGAATTACCAGCTCTAGAAACTGGACTGTTGTCTATGTTCCATTGGATCTCGTTAAACAGTACTATGCATGCAAGTAGGATGAGACAATGACAGTTGTCGCCCTTAGTACGCTATCGTCAACCAAGGTACATTCTACAATAGTAAATGAAACAAAGTTTTACTTTAAAGACTACCTTCTACAATTATGTACTATTAAAAAGAGTACAGGTCCTACCATGTGACTCTTTGAGTGACAAAGGAAGCAGATGTGTTCAAAGCTCGCTAAATATAATCAATTACTGTTTATGTTGCGAACAATCTTATGATAATGAACTTCATTCCGAATGTTAGGGC